ATATATATATATAATAATAATAATAATAATAATAATAATAATAATAATAATAATAATAAACATGTCATCTATGGGTGTCAAATCGGATCAGTGGGTAGAGTTCGGGTCCGACCCGAAAATAATTCAACCTGAATAGGGCTAACTCGAACCTGACCCAAATAATAAATAACTCGAAAACTAAGACTCAAACCCGACCTAAATTCGAGCTTGATCCGCTAACCCGAACAATCGTGCTTGTTCGGGTCATGTCTGGGTTTTTAGGCTCAACCCAAACCCAACCTAAACGATTAACAAGTCAAATTCTCTAGCCCGAACCCAACTTAAAAAATATTTTGGTCAACTCTAAATCAAAATTTTCGAGTCGAGTTCAAGTCGAGTTGACATGTCGGGCCAATTTTTGACACCCCTAATGACATTACCAACTTATCCTTAATATCATGACATTTCCTAAACTAACATTTTCAAGATTACACAGTTAAATATACAAGCCGTTCAATTTAAAATATGATGAATAACATTATACGCAAATATGTAATTTATAACTATCATATATATTTATTTTAGAATATCACCAACTAATAAAATATTAATATAATCAAAATACATTTGATTGCAAACTTGAACTAACAAAATTATTGCATGCTCACTTATGAAGAGTGGGTCGTAAGTATACTTTCATAAATATGAAAATTTTATATTATGTTACTACCATTAGCAAAACTTACACCTAAAAATTAAATAAACTTATTACTCTCACTTTTTATTAGGAAAATACCAAAAATATAAATTTTAATTTAATATCAAATTTTCTATTTACCAACTTTTCTTCCATTTCACCTCTCCTTATCCTTCTCTTCCTCTTCTTTCTCTTCTTCTTCTTATTTTCCCTTCCATTTTTCTTCCTAAAACTTGTTGCTTTATCTATTTGATTTGCAGAATATTGAGTATCAAATGAGAAATGAATTAGCTATACTTTTTCAAAATAAATAAATAAATGCTACTCTAACTTAATGAAGGTTACAGAGGAATTATGTAATAGTATTTTCAACTAACCAACTATTTTGGTAATTCTTTTCTTTTCTTATAAGAATCTATGTGAGTAGTTATTCTTTGTAATGTACTTGCCATGTGACACTATTAGCAGAGCAAAAAAAAATTATAAAATGCAATATCATATTGTATGTTCATAGAATGCTTACCTCATTAACCAATACTATTTTAACTATTGGAAAAAATATCATGAGAAATAATAACCTCAATGAGGCAATAATAGTAGGGACGAGGATCTTATTGGGCTAAAAATGTTAACATTGTAAGGATTACATTTCAATTTTGTTGGACTAATTGGTTAAACCAATAAAGTAGTATAAAAGAGTATATAAGTGCCTAAAGTTAAAACTGAGAAGTTATAAGCACCAAGATAACCTTATGCCATACATCGTGATTGATTAGGTTAAAAGATTTTTTTGAGAATGTAATTAAAAATGAGATTGTGAGAGCAATTGAGGAGACCTTCGAGTCACTAAGCCAGGAGGCTTCCCTAGACCACCCATAAGAACTTGATTGAGGATGCTTTTGAGAGGTTCCCAAGGAATTCACTTAAGAATAGTTGGAGAGTTAAACTATAAGATTATGACATGGAGAATAATTTCCTCCACATATAGGATCAACATTCATTTGTATAATATGAAAGTTTTTTTATGCTATGGCTTATGAGTTTACCATTATTTATGTGAAGATTCCTTTTCATTATTAATTTGATATCGCTCCAATAAACATACGCCATCAAATTAACCCAGCCCATAATAGAAATTGAGGCCTAAATTTGGCTTGAGGAATTCCTTTGCGAATTATTATGCCCTAAAGATTTTTTTATATTTTTTTTAAACTAAATTGATACATTTTAATAACTAATAGATCCTTTCAATGATGTTTTGAACAATTTGGTGGCATTGGAGCCAAAATTTTTAATTTTTTAGCACTAAATGAAGTGAAAAGTTTAGTAAAGGTTGAAATTAGGATTTAGAAAAACTTTGCTCTCAATTCTGAAGAGAAGTTGAGATTGTTATATATGTAATCATGTTCGAAAAAATTTTAAAATTTATTATCTTACAACACATCCCAATTTACATTTTGGATTTGAAGATTTTGAAGTATAAAAAATACAATATATTGATACATTTAAAAAAAAATATAATCCAATGAAGCAATAAACTTAATGCAAGTTTGTGAATAAAAAACTTGCAAAATCAATTATAGAGCTATCAGAGTTTTTTATTTAACCAACCATTCGTTTGAGTCCAAGTGATCGTAAGCCAAGCATTCAAAGGTATAGTTGTGAATTTCATTACACTCTTTGAGATATCAAAGTGATCTTTTAATCACATACACTTATAACAACTGATGAGAGAAATCTAGCAAGCACAATATTGCATAATTTTATGTTATTTACATATATGCCAAAAGAATAGTTTAAAATTAAAGTAAGATGAATCAAAATAAAGAATCAGTAATTTAAAAGATAAAAAAACAAAGTGCCATTTTCAAAATTTATAGACCCTTATTCTACACATGAAGGAGACTTGAAGTGGGAGAAGTAATAAATTTGAAATTTCAAAATAAAGGTACTCATGCAATTGGATTTGAAGGAGAGTCCAAAAAAAAAAAAACATGTGCTTAGAAACTGGTTTAAGAGTCCTTGAAAGAGTTTTCTTTATACATATCTCAATCGAGCTTGAAAGATGAAATCGAATTTGATTTTGGCTCAAACCATTCTTCTTGGTTTATGATTTGGCTCAAAGTGATTGAGCCCATGTTGGTCAAACTCATTCTAATAAGCTTAAAGGATCTCACATAAACATTTTTTAGATCCAATCATACACATTCTGCATAAAGTTTTTCAGATTCTTGATTTCACTGTACAGATCATTCATTTGATGCTATATTTATATGCTTGAAGCATGACGAGATGCTTGATTTTTGAAACGACAAAAGTTTATGATGTGAGTGATGAACCAAACTAGATAACCTCCTTGAAAACTGATTCAAAATTTTGAAACCACAAAAGTTTAGGATGTGAAAGGATGGACATCATTACATGATTGGTAATAGAAGTCATATTTGATCGACATAGGCGATAAAAGAACCTTCGCAGTACTTGAGACGCCTCAAAGAAGCAGATTGCAAGCACGGAACCAAAGCAGCCTCGGGAAGGCATAGAACATCTCCACTCTCAGGCATGGAAGCGTCGTAGCTCCCAAGCTGATCCGGTTTCTCCTGACAGAAAGATTGAAGCGCAATGTTTAACCCAGTTGACAATGGTTCTGTCGTGAAGCTGCAAGAGGAAAATAAATAATAATAATAATAATAATAATAATAATAATAATGACAATGAGGACAAGCAACAAAATAAGAAGATAATGTACATAAATGAAAGTTTACTATGACAATAAACAGTCGCATACATTGATTCAAATGTATTTCCAGTTGCACTCATTGCTGCACATAGCCTGCAGATCACCCACGGAGGTAGAACTGTATCCTTAACTTCTATGTTGTAACATAGAGGGCTTTCAGATAAGCTTAGATGATCATCGGAGTCAAAAACTGCATCAGCTCTTTTAATCTCCTTGCATTTCACCTATACAAAAGAGTCGAGCATCATGATAGGCCTACTAGATTTATACAAGCAAATCCAGAATAGGAAAGCTTATTTTGTAGCAAATAATTTCAGTGGAATCAAATGAGACTGAAAAAAAGAATTCATAAAAAAGAATGCAGGCTGCCCGTAAAAGTTACCTCTGGAATACAAAGAGAAGCATTAAGGAATGGAACAGGGGCGTATAATGCTGGAACATCATTACTATTTAAAGAGTTCAGACTATTTAAAGATTTCAGGAAAAACCTGTAAAACAGAGGAAGAAAAATCTGAATTCAATACAAAAACAACCAAACAAACATAAACTTAAAAATGTGAGCTGTGAAAAGCAACTCTTTCTGCTGGTATATTGAAGTAGCACTTAAATTAAGGGACGTTAAATAGAAATGTAACCTCAAAAGAACCTCAAAGAAAATATTGACATGATAGGAATTGGAGAAAGCAAATGAAGATGTGTTACTATAATGTTGAGCAACTCTCAATAATGAAAGGCGCTCCTTTAATAAAGGATAAGAAACCAAATGCTAATATTTCCATTGCCATCCAATTCACGATCATTTTTCTAGTCATTTATAAATTTATTGGAGTGCCGAATCAGGTCGATCTGACCTAAAATTGACCCAACCCCAAAATAATTGACCCCAACCCAAAAATTAAACGGGTCAGAAATTCTAACATGAACCTGACCTGCCTTCAACCCGAACCCGCCCATATATCCCATTTAAAATAAGACAACTAACCAGGTCACAGTGGGTCAAGTTTGGGTCGATTTCAGGTTGTTGGGTCAATTTTGAGTCAATTTTGGTCTGCGAGCCAGTTTCAGTTCAATAGGGCGGGTAAACTTAAACACGACCCAAGAAATTAAAGGAGATAAAATTCCTAACCCAAAGCCGACCCATATATTATTCGGGTCAACCCAAACCCGAAGTTTTTGAATCAGGTTCAGGTCAAATTTTTACGTCCCTAATAAATTATTTCCCATGCACTGAAGGGTAGAGTGCAGAGTTTACCTATAGTTCAATAGAAAATCATATAACCCATGGACATTTGTGTTTCCAATAAATGCAAGGAGAGACTGAGGGCTATTGTCCACCCCAGAAATAGAATCTTGATGAAACGCCTACATAAGAAAAAAGCAATGAACATACGCATAAACTCATGTGAAAAAAGGCTTGAATGAGCAAGCAACAAATGAAGAACAGATAATCGATCAAACCTTCCCTAAGTTTTGTTGTTCAATTTCTGAGAGTTCAGCCAAATCATCCTCATTAGCATGTTCAACTTCAAGATGGCAAAGAGGCATGGAGAAACAAACATTCTGCTTTCACAAAATAAATAAATAAATAAACAATAAGGAGAAAAGGGGTCTAACAACTCCATGATGCACACATGTATGATGATTTATGATTCAATAAACACATTTGAAAAAAATTATTAACTTGGCATTCCATTTAGACTAATATTTTTTTTAGTAAAGCAATCCTGATTTGAATGTTTGAGAATTTGACTTGATGCATAGGAACATTTTTAATACAAATGCCAACTATGTAAGTCTGAGAAAGTGTTGATTTAAACAAACTTATTAATATTGCATTATGAAGAGTTTGTTTTCTGGATGTGAACTGCTGACCTCCAAATCATAATCAATTAAGTTTCATTTAATTTACTAAAATGACTCGGTGAACTTTTACACAAAAGCATGAACATCAGACAAGGCACACCAATCCAATAAAATTTCTTTTTCTAACACAGGATATTGGGCTTCAATAATTGTTTTATATCCAATTTATATAGGTTAGCAATTATGTCTGTTTTTGTTGGACATATACTGTCAGTGATGTCGCAAGGAAACATATAAAAATATATAAAAATAATATGAAAGAAAATGTCAAATAGTGCATATAATAAAATACTCGCAACTTACGTAAAGAAACTACATATGAATCCAACTATTTATTTCTGAAGGATCCAGTACAACAAGAGAACATTTTGATAATTATTTTTCCCATCTCTGTATAAAGATTTAGATTTCACAAAATTCAAAGAGGAACCATTTTAGAAAAAATACCTTTGAGTGAAGTTTCTTTTAGTTGGACATAATGTGAGTGATGTTTACAGTTCGCAGGGAACCATATAAAAATATATCAAAAAAATATGAAACAAAATTGTAAAATAGTGCATATTATAAAATACTCCCAACTTACATAAGGAAGCAACATATGAATCCAACTATCTATTTCTGAAGAATCCAGTGCAACAAGAGAACGTTTTGATATTTATTTTTTACATCTCCGTATAAGTGATTAAAGTTTCACAAAATTCAAAGATGAACTATTTTAGAAAAAAAATCCATGGTACCTCTCATTATGATGAGGAAGAAAGCAAAAGCTAAAAGTAACTTAACATGATTTCTGAGCAAGGATCTCAAACCACGAGTAGATTGAGAAAGAAAGGCACTGCAAGACTGTCGCCTCCCCAAAGACTTGTTACCAATGAATAGCACGACGAACTGTGAAGTACAAACTGCAAGTTAAACGGAAAAAAATATTGAGGTTATGCAAGGAGACTGCATCAAAAAGGAAGAAAAGGAATAGACACCAAAAAACAAAAGATTAATAAGTCAGCCTTTATGTTTGGCATGATTACAAGCATATCAAGCAGTGCAACTACTGTGCGGAGCATTTATCAATGCCTCAAGAAAATAAGCATCAGTTAATCTCCGTGCTTCCCTCCCTCAAATCTAACACTTTAACAAGGAGACAGAACTCCCTCCCTCCCACTCTCTCTACTAGGACAGCATATAAAACTTAACAATTTACCAGTGAGACAAAACTCCGTCTTAATGAAGGAAAGCCCCTGAAACTTAAACACTTTAACAAGGAAATAAAACTTTTGAAGAGCTTAAAACCCCACATTTGCTTAAGGGCATCAAATCCAAGAAAAGAGAATTTTATTCAACACTTAAGATGGCATAACATTCTAATATTAATACCACTGAAAAACTTCAACAAGGAAATAAAACTTTTGAAGACCTTAAAACCCCACACACTTGATTAAGGGCATCAAATCCAAGAAAAGAAAGTTTCATTTAACACTTTAAATGGCATAACATTCTAATATTAATTCCATTGATCCTTATTTACTGAATAGAGTTTTCAATAATGGAACTGTAAACATAATAACAAGTGGCTGAGAAGACACCCCTAACAAAAATGAAACCATGAGCACTCAATTCCACATGACGTTGTGGTTCAGAGATTTTGTATGATATAACTAATACAAGTTGTCAATTTTCAAATAAAGTTCACAAAAAGAGCAATTATCTTAAGTTGGTTCCCACTAAAATTCATTCTGCCAATTAAATATGTAAAGCTACAATAAGAATTCAAAGCCCTTCCTCTATTAAAGAAAGCAATATGGCCAGTGAAGAAAATTTATATGAAGTTGGTACTACGATTAGAATCGCAGATCTATCGTTTCACGGAGTGCAACATTCTCAGAAACTTGAGTTTGAGTATGCGGGAGCACGTCGAAGCACATGAGGGTATTTTAAACTTTTTTATTTGAATTGATTCTTAAAGAGGTTTGCACACATCTGATTAGATTAAATATGAACTCAAGTATCTTATAACCCACACAAAATTCTTACTCACAACTTTAAGAATTTGAAGTGATCGTACCAGTACATGCAAGCATTTAGAGCTTCTTTTATGCAAGCTCACACAAAATTCTAAGACATTACAATCGTGTGTTTAACACATTAGTCGAAACACATGCAAGTGTTTAGAGCATATTTTATGCGAGTCTGCACAATATTCTCAAACCTTACAATTGAGTATTTAGCACATTGGTCGGAGAACATATGAGCTTTCTGAGTAGCGTGCATGTACATCTTGATGTACTTATATAATACACTAACAAAATATTGTACAACATTTGAATAATGTGCTTTATATTTGTTTCAATGCATTAGAAATAAGCCTCACAATATACATATTTTAGATTTTATTATTTGCACAAAAATAATAACATCAGAATATGCGCAAGCATTTCACTTTGATTCACCCTTTGTCAGCTTGTGCGTTTGTGTTGCAGATCAAGTGGTGATTGAGACGATGAGCTAAAGATTTGATATTTGGTTGCATTTGATTTGGAATTTATTGAATTTTGAATATTCAATAAGGCTTCACTTAACACCAATGTTTTAAAAGGGGTGGGCATTAAGCAGAGCGTTTTAGATAATACAGGGCGAGACATAAGGCCCATAGTATAAAAAAAAAGAATATAAATATGAAGAGATAAAAATAAAATAGTAGTGCTTAATTTAAAATTTAAGAGACATAAAAGTACTTATAATCATTCAATTTCAAAATAAGTCTTTTAGAATTGGAATCTTCAAGATAATGGAGACTGAACTGTTCACAAGAAAATTAATCAAATTTCTATTTTTTCATCTGTCCAACTATCTGACATAATCGAACACACATATTTTCTCAATGACTTATTATGCTCCTCTAATACCTTATTGATTGTAACAACTTCATCTTTGAGTATCCAAGCTATTAATTCATGCATTGTAGGTGGAGTAAAATCGGGTTCAAAGTTTGCATCTATTTCAAACATAGACATATAATATGGATCATTGGTAATATTAAATGTCAATCCAGCTGAGTAGTAGAATCTACCAATTGCCCTACATGCTTCGTTTATTTCATCTTTTTTCCAATTGAAATTCTAAAGTAGAATTCCTAGCTTGTGTTGACGTGAGAGAATCTATTGGACTCTAACTCTAGGTGGCCTCTGAGATAAGTCAGGAAAAGATGAATTAGTAGTATTTTGGCCTTAATAAATATTTGTTGTACAGCTTCTAATGTCACTTAATACACTGTCATTTTGAGCTTTGACTTTTGAAGCTTCTTTTAATGCTTTATTGCATTTCTCTTGAACTTCAGCAGGGGCTTTAGCGCCTGGTTTAATATCCTTGTGTGTGATGGAAAGATGTTGTTTCATCCTATTTATTATTCTACTACACACTTGATTGTAAAACTTACAACTGAAATATTTTTCATTGGGTGTGTTTGTTGTATACACAATGATCAAAAGGATTCATATCTTGATTTTTCGATAAGTTTTATGCTGGCTGTCAACTACCTAACGCAACCCTCCACTTATCACATCCGGGCTTGGGACCGACAATGATAGTGTTCATAAGAGCATTAAAAGTCGTCCATCTAATGATCTGATTAGGAGAGTAGATGTTTTAGATTGGACTTTTGTTAAGAAAGGCAGAGGTAGAGCTAGAAAAACTTGGGCTTATTATATAAAAAATGATTTTAATTTATTAGAACTAAATGAAAAGATGACACTAAATAGGATGCAATGGAGAAAAAAGATTCAATGGAGAAAATGTAGTTGACCCCACGTAGTGGGATTAAGGCTTTGTTGTTGTTGTTGTTGTGGGTGTGTTTGTTGTATATTACCATGCAAAGTTCTCGTTAGTGCGACTACTACAGGTCAAACAATCCCACGCTTTCATTATAAGTTAATAACTAACATTGCACATTAAAATAAAAAAATCAAATCAAATCCATCTTTAGCAAATATAAAAAAGTTTTTTTATGAGTTAATGGATTGTGTGATCTCTAGCAACATGAAAAAAAAAACAAACTTATAGTTTAGTGTAGCTACAGTGCTACAGTGAAATAATCCATTAATAACCCGTAAACCAATAGAATACGCACATCTATTTGCTTAACAAATCAATCGGGCTGCGGAAGATGAAGAGAAGCAAATGTTGTGGGATCTTCCGCTTGCAGAGAGGAAGTTGCAGGATCACCTGCGTGTGAAGGAGCAGATGGGAGGATCGATTGCGTGCATGACAAAGCAGAAGGGGGATCTCCTGTGTGCAAGAGCAAAGTAGGCAACAGGATTACCTGCTGCGGGATCATCTGCGTGAGAGGGACGAAGCGGACGGCGATGCAGACGGCTGCGGAATCGTCTTATGACTTGCGGTGCAATGGATGAAGCGGAGGGCTGATGGAGATCATCTGCGTGCGGGAGACGCTTGAATTGGCGTGAATCATATAGGTCTGCAAAATTATAGATTTTTTATCTTTTCATTTGATTAATAAATGGGGTAAGTGCCTTGTGAGGCACAACTTGCGCTCTGTGGTTAGAAAGAGTTCCTTGTGAGATTTACGCCCCTCTCGTGGCCTAGAGGCAAAATGGTTTATGCCTCGCCCCACAAACACCTTCTTAAACGTAGGTTAACACTTAGATAAACACCCTGCATCGAATTGTTCCAATTCATTTGGCCTGCTATATATTACATTTTGAAAGTATGTTCTACTTTCATTTAACATTTAAATATACCCTCACATAGTTGTAGTGTATGATTATAAAAATTCTGATTAATACATAGAAAACCCCAATTGCACTTGTAGTTTAAACACAAGTTTTATTTGAGCTCGTTAATGTCATCAAGTCCTTTGCTATTCTATGAGCTTATTTTCAATACTAATCCATCCTTATTTGTATGATATTCTAAGTATTAAATATCATTTTAATTTTGTATTTTTTTTCTTTTATTTTAGTCACTTTTGTGCTCAACAAGTTCTATGAAATTATGTTCTATGATTCCGTCTCGACCAAATGTTGATAACCTTCGAGCATCATCCCCACGTAGGGGGGCTGCTTCGAGAAAGTTGGGTTTGCCCATCGCGCTATGAAAAACGTGTATGGATGGTGTAAACTCAACAGTCGTAAACATCACAGCCCGATCTTCATCCCCTACCATGCTACGAAAAGTGTGTATAGGATACATGCATAAGAATTCACATATTTCCCCATAGCGCAACAAAAAACACGTATTGGTACTTATATAAATCTCCCCTCCACACTACAAGCACATACAGACGCCATGAACCCTGCATATGAGTTTCACCTTACTACGCTATGAAAAACATGTATAATATTCCGCTCATCACGCCAAACACACAGCAATTGGGATTTGGGAGATCATGAGTTGCAAATTTATACCTTCCATGAAAGGTTGACGATAATGAATTTGGCAAGTTTAGATATGAAACACAACATTTTCTCTCCTTTTTTGCACTAATTTTATTTTTTTAGAGAGAGAGGGGAAGGGGTTGGCTGTTTAGAAGTAAAAGAGCAAGGAAGACTTCTCTTCCTCTCTGCCTAGAGAGAGAAAGAGGGCTTAAGAGGTGGATAGAGCATTTGATTGAAAAAGAGAGGGTTTTCTCTATTTTGTAGAGAAAATGGTGGCTATTGAAGTGGGTTTACGGTGTGATGGGTTGATGTCACATGTCATGGGAGAGATAGGTGAGAGATAGATGAGACTAACGGCCGATGGATTTTTCTAGCTGGGATGTAGCAGGTGCGATTGAGTGGAGTTGTGAAGGTGATGAGGTGAACTTCAAGAAGCGAAGCTGCTCTCGTGGTCGGTCTCACATGCTAATCAGTACATCATAGGAGAGAACTATTTGCACAAAGGGATAGAGGTAGTGTTGGCTAGGGCAGAGATGAACCAGCTGGAGAGGTTCAGCAAGATGGCAAAAGGGAGGGCACATAAGGTACAAACCAAAGTGCAATGATAATTACAGGGTTACTGTGCTTCAGTCGAATGGAAAGAGGCGGAGTTCTTGCATGAAAGTGAGTGAGAGTATGTTCAGGTAGGAGCGTTGAATGGGAGGTGTCGAACGGGGAAAATGTTTGTGCATGTCGCAGGTGTGTGTGAACAGAAAGAGAAAAGCCTCAGCAGCTGCTCTCCTAGCTACAAGCGAGCATGGAGGGGTTGGGTTGGAGTGAAGGAGTAGGTTATCTTGCTGGTTGGTGTCGGCGGATGCTCAGAATCAAGAACTGAAAAGGAGACGGCTGGTGTGGGAGGTTGATGTTGGAGGCAGGAGAAAAAGAGAGATTAGCGGAAGGGAGAGCTCGACACGTGTAACTTGAGAGAAGCACTAATGGGAACTTCAGAACAGCAGTGAGAGGAGTTACATTTCTCGGATAACAGGCTGAGAGAAACGAGAGCAAGGTGAACTGGGGAAGAAGCTTCTCGGCTGTGAGATGTGAATGGGGAGAGCCTAAGTGAGGAGCTGGCAAGTACGGAGAATGTGTTGCATGAATGGGGAGCTAGAGCTAAAGGGAATGGCTTATCAGATTTTCCTTTTATTTTATTTTATTTTTTTTAATGTGAGGTAACAAATTTAGAGAGGTGATGGGCGGGAGCATATGGGTTGAAGATTGATAGAAAGGTTGCTTAGCAGAGAAGAAATGGAGAGGGTTTAAAAATTCTTTATTTTTAAATTTTTTTTAATTTAAACGTCAACTGACCTGTCATCGACTAATATACCAAATCCTAACAATATGGGCGTCCTCCCTAGGCAAAGTTGACATTTTGGACACGCTCGTATAGTACCTTTTCCAACCGGAGGCCGTTTGAGCAAATTTAGGTGACAGTCGAGAAGAATCGGGTTTAGATTACACACATCATGCAGATGGTCTGTCATTTTCTTCATGCTTGCTCCTTTTGAGCATGTAAGATAATATCTTAAATAATTTTCATGCCTTGAAAACAACGACAAAGTCTGATTCATGGTTTGACATCTTTGGGTGGCTTCGACAACATTTGAATTGATTTAGCTTTGATCCATGAGTTGTCACAGTTTTTGCTTACCATTTTCTCCGAAATTTTGATCGAGCCATATCATATACAGATATGGAGGTAAATATTCATATGTGAAGTGCACATTAACCGAGTCCTTTATAAAGCATAATCATTATTGTTTGTATCAATCTCTTATCTAGGGTGTAATTTTTATTAAAAAAAAACTGAATGGTTCCCAGATTATTAGCAAGGGAACAAAATAATCACAGACATGTAAAAGACCAATTCAATCTCTATGCTATTTAAATGAAGACTAAAATAGCCATCAGACTATTTAAATAGAGGCTAAAATAATCCTACAAGGGGATCATTTTGATTCTTATTTAAATTGTTGAAAAAAAAATGATCTTCTACATAATCTGGATCATTTCGATCCCATACAAAAAGTCGGGGATATTTTGGCCCTTTTCTCAATTTTTATCTTAAAATACCTAAAGAAGCACATTTCATAAGCTTGTTAGTAAAATATCCATTATTGATTTTATAGTGTCTTATCTTACAACTCCCAACCATAGCAACTACATTATCTTAAATATGTTAAAGGGATTGTAGTTGATTTTGTGTGATTTTTTTGGAAATATAAATTACATCATTTGCCCAAAACAAATGTTTTTGCTAGTCCTAGGGAAGCTACATACCTAAATATGTACATTTTGTAAGCTTAAAATGATCTTTTACATAGTCTGGGATCATTTTGTTCTCCTACAAATAGTTGAGAACCATTTTGGTCATTTTCTCATTTTTTATCTTAACAACCTAAAGATGTACATTTGATAAGCTTGGCTGGAAAATTTTCCACTATAATTTTAATAGGGTCTTATCTTACAACTCTCAAACATCACAACTCCATGACCCTAAAAATGTTAAACTAATTGTAGTTGATTTATGTATGGTTTTCTAGGAAAATAAAAATTATATCGCTGCCCACAACGATGTAATCTGAAAGTTCTAAATACGCTACATACAAAATCTCAAAAAAAGTACCAAGTTCACTGGTTATATGCTTCAAATTAAGCCTCTGGCAACAAAGATGTCTAGCAATATATTAAAATATTTCCCTTTTACATTCTATAACATCAAAACCTTTTCCAAAGATCCCTATACCCTTGGTTTATCGTTGGTAGATGGTTTATGTTGGTATGCAGATTTCTTCTCATATTTCCTCGTATTTTGTGATTGGAAATGCAAAATCACTATTACAACCATATGATATTAAATTCACATATGATTTTAAATTCAAGGCTGCCAAGTGCCACCCATAATTCTTGAATTATTTTTTCAGAGTTCAAAATCATCTTCTTTAATTGAATTTAAGACGGAACGCTGAACAGTGAACTATATTATATCCAACAACATGCCAAGAAATCATAATTTAAACCTCATATTATGTCACACTGGCAAGTTTATCTTATTGAGCCAGTTCCTACCACACAAGTACTACTTTTGCACGATGCAATAACCAATACATAAATATATAATATTTTAAGATGGTAATTGATGCTAATGTTATGGCTTATCATCAGTTAAAACCACCTTAACTTCATTAGCCCAGTTTTATAAGCACGCTATGGTCAAATTCAAATGAAAGTTGTGAAAATAATTGCCATCATATAAGTGCATGTCCAAGTTTCCAACAAAAAATATAAAGTTCAGTCCCTAACTTCCATCACACTAATCCTTTCCACAAAAGAATCACTAAGGCTAGCAAAATCCTTCTAACATAATTAAAGATACAAATTAAGTCTATAGTCTGTCCTAATCATTTTTTAAACTCAAATTCCATAGGTTTTCTGGTTAGCCTAGCCAAGCTAAGGTATTCAAGATAATCCATTAACTAACAATCAACATATACCATTCAAATCCAAATTAAGTCTATTGTCTGGCTTAATCATTGCATCAACATTTTGCAGATACAATCGAAGGCTACGCACTGACATGTAGCACTTAACAATCAAACTGAAACTCAAGCTTTGGAATGTAGGTTACAAGAAGCGATTCCTTGATTCTTTGGTGGTCATTGAATTATCCCCTATTATTGTATAGCTTTAGTTGGAGTTGACAATATTATGGTATCAAAGTTATATCAAAACATACAAAAATAATGGTTCAACAAATCTATAGAATATGCAAATATTAAGAAATCTTACTCACATCAGGAACAAATTAATAAAGAACACACTTGGTTAAAATGATATCTTTGATATTTCTTGATCATTAGTGTACTATGCTAGCTCAATCTAGAATCAAATCTTTGGACCTCTTGCCACCAACAAATAAAATATCCATCTTTATACCACACATTTTTTCTATAAAATCACCTTGTTCAACAATGGTAGCCTACAAATAATCATAGCGACCATTATTCTTTTAAAGAATGAAAAAATTAAATCTATTGAAGCGTTAATCCAACAAAACCGTCCAATAATTTTTCGAGTTAATATAGTGCCCATAAGGTCCAAAACACAATCAACCTCAAGTTCTAGAGGAAGCCAAGATGTTCATTCAGAAAAAGCCAGCAAAGTTTGGTGTTTGTTGTACCGATATAAATCCCATTCTTGTTATATAACAACAAATCGACAGGGAACAAAATTACTACAAAGGTTTTGCTTTGATCTACAAGCAACAAAAGCCGAACACACTAAGATCATCGTTATATTCCATTTCCTTACTGTCTAATGGGATGTGGTTTAAACATAAAATATTAACAATATAAAGATGGTGGACCCCATACATCTTTGATTCTTCCATCTACTTGTTCAAACATTGATATAAGTCATTACACACAGAAATCCCCAAGTTGTCTGCTTCCCTCCAGCTGATGAGACTCAGAAGAGGGCAACAAAACTCAACCTATCTCAGTGACCAGAGTGATTGTGTGAGCCCCTTCCAGTAATGCAAGCCACTGCACTTTTAGCCAAACACAGTTACCGGTCATGAAAAAACCTCTTCTCGAACTGGATCAAAGATCAACATAGAGAGGCAATCATTTAATCAAATCAAACATTTATGACAAAGAGGTCTTCAAACTATGGTTTAATGAATAAATACAGTGCAAATAGTGGCCTCAGGTCTCGGTAGAATCAAAGAACAGTGATAATCAGTTTTCACGATAATTTGTTCCAAGATCAACAACCCTTAAACTCAACGAAACTAAAATCAACAAAATCAACAGTTAATTCAAACTTTGTTAATTCAAACTTTTATTCCCACATTAGTGTGTGAAAGAAAAACTATCGTGAAGTAGGATAAAAGATGATAGTGTGGAGAACTGAAGTGGCGGGTTCTACTGCTACATGCAGCAAAATTTGGCAGTAAAATTTGGTGAGGACATCAAGTAGAGCGGCGATTAAGGAAATGATTTGCCAATGAGATTAATGATGGGGAATGGCAAAAGTATTCATCAATTGTGGGGCCAGCTTGAATGATGAAGGCACGATGTGAAGATGCGGTTTGTACAGGGAGTGTAAGCAAGTGTTCTCAATGAGTTCAAAAAAAGGAGATTAGGGACATACAATTTTATCCAAAAGTAACAAACATAAAACATGAATTATCAACCTTAAACAAACACTGAATTTAAAATTAAGCTAATGATAAATTAATCCACCATAATCACAAGCAAAACATTATAATTCAAGTCAACAACAATTTTTAAACAAATAATTTACATACCATAAAACATGCTACAAATGTTCTTTCGAAGCATGTAGTAGAGGTTTGAAAAAGAATCCTCCCAATCTTGTTGTCTTCGTGATAAAAAATCTGTTTCTACAATAGAAACAATATACAATATGTTAATATAGCAGTTTAAACAAAAAGATAAGGAGCTATAGGTGAAGTGAAAAAACCTCCTTTTGTAGCAGATAAAGTCATTGCAATAATGATGGAAGTAGGCAATAGAGATTGCGGAAATGCCCAAGATTGTATAGCTTTAGAATACATAACTTCAGTAGATGTACCGTGTCCTAGTTTACAAGCAGTTTGTTGGTCCGTGTTGGAAAGATAATTATAAGTGTGTTGCTCACTTTCAAAGAAAGCAGGGGTAGCATTTACTCTGTGACACCTAAAAGAGATTGGCGGTTAGAAGAAAAAATCCACCATGATTTGTATAATAAAATGGAAAAATAAAAACAGTAGTGGAACTACATAGCAAAATGAAATTTGTAACTAAGAAGCATATGAAGCTTAAACATAACTTCAATGCAAAATGAAGTTTAATTATAACCTTTTCCAAACACTACTTTAACAAATGATTATACAAAAGTGCTTCATTAATTCAAACCCTGAATCAAACAATTATATAATGGTAATACCTTGCACATGCAAAATCCTATTTTACTAGCACTTTTTAATTTTATGCAAACACTCATATCAACACATTCAACTATTTGAAACAATAAAATAACTCTGTGTCAAACATATTTACTTTTAATTTATTGGCATATCGATATGAATATTGTGTTTCATGCTAGCATGGTAAAATTATAGGAGAGGGTAATTGAACATAGGTTAAGACGTGATACAATGATTTCTCTTAATCGTATGGAAAGTCTACTATGGATGCCATACATTTATTGAGAGGTTTGATGGGGAAGTACAAAGAGAAAAAAGAAGATTTACATAGGACTTTTATTGAATTAGGAAAAACTTTTGATAAACTTCCAAGAGAAGTTCTTTGGAGAGTTCAAGAAAAGAAAGGTGTTGATATGACTTATATTAAAGTCATTAAAGATATGTATAATAGAGCTATTACTTATGTTCGAATAAAAGGATTATTGACCAAGTATTTTCGTATTTCAGTTGGATTACATCAGGGATCGACTTTAAGCCCATATGTATTTGTTTTAGTTATGGATGCTCTTACTGGGAATATACAGGAAGATATACCTTTGTGTATGTTTTTTGTTGATAATATCCTTCTAGTCCATAAGACTAGAAAAGGAGTTCATGAAAAACTTGATTTATGGAGGTCTACATTAGAATCTAAAGGCCCTTGTTTGAGTAGTTCTAAAATTGAATACATGAAATATAATTTTATTAGTAGTAGCTCTAGTGGCAGAGTTGTAACTATGGGTGATCAAATCGTTAAAAGGTATGAACTTTTTAGATATCTTGGGTCTATTACTCAAAGTGATGGGGATATAGATGAGGATTTCATTAGTAGAATTCAGGTAGGTTGGTTGAAGTGGAGGAATGCATCAGGCCTATTGTGTGATAGAAAAGTATCGCTTAGACTTGAAAAATTTTATAAGATGGTGGTGAGACTTACAATGCTTTATAGTGCAGAATTTTAGCCTTTAAAAAGAAGCATAAAACTAAGTTAAGTGTTGCTGGGATGAGAAATACTTAGGTTGACGAGTAGCTTGACATTTAGAGACAAAATGTGAAACGAATCTATCCATGAAAGGGTTAGTGCAACTCCAGTTGCACACAAGATTAGGAAGAGTTGTCTTAGATGGTTTGGTCACATTAAACATCAACCATCTGATGATCCGGTTAGGCGAGTAGAGATTTTAGATTCCACTTATGTTAAGAAAGATAGAGGTAGACCTAAAAATACTTGGGCATATTGTATAAAAAATGATCTTAATCTATCAGAATTAAATCAAAATATGACACTCAATAGGACACAATGGAGAAAAAAGATTCATGTAGCCGACTCCACTTAGTGGGATAAAGGTTTGTTATTGTTGTTGAATGTTAGCATGGTAAAAATTAGAATCTTGTGCCTTCACATGTTTATTTTGGTAATTGCCAAGACTAAGAGACCTCTCATTTGATGAGTCATGTTGTCTGCACCCAATCATATAAATCAACAAGTTTGTCAACTTTCTCGTTCTTTGCATAAAATGTTGAGATGCATCATATATTGATACATTATGCTTCTTGATAATGGTCATCACTAGGAAGTAACTAGTGACTGATAATACAGCTTCTGGAGCATGTGTTGAAATGTCTGGCAAAGTGCCTAATTATATGGCTAGTGCTCTTAGATTATCAACATGATGAGTTACATTTTGTGTTCCTTTTTAGATTGTAAGGATTTGTCAAGAGTTATAAATCTCCTTAGTTTGTTTATGCGTAGAGATGCAAATGAATTAACACTTAACGAACTCAAACTCGACTCGATTAATACTCGATCAACTTTGTTCAAACTATAAACAAATTAAAATTCTTATAAAAATTTGAAGGTTTAATAAACCAAGTTTAAACATAGTCTAAATTATTTATTTATATTAAAGATAAACTTGTTTATTGTTCAAGAAGTAATTTAATGCATGCTCGATATTAAACTAAATGATAACTAATAAATAAATTTAGATTTAGAATTTATTTAATTGCATATTTAATAATAAAATATTATAATTCAATATAAATAATATTTTAGGATTAATTACTAATTATATAATTATGTTATTAATTAATCCAATACATTAACTTAGTACATCATTATTTACCATATTCAATCCATCATACTTCTTCATAATAATTAATTTATCATCATATAAATATATAATATCTAATACTTATGTATGTTAATTTATTGCAAGAAAGCTTGCTTGCAACATTACTTTGCCAAAAGACCTCTTCATCTTTTTTTTTTTTTTTTTTCATGAACTAAGAGCTCAAAAAAAAAACAAAAAAAAAACTGACATGGCCTACCATTCAACTTAAACATTGTAGACGGCAAGTGAAAAATGTCTAAATCATGGTGGAAACCATGCATCCGAGAATTATTTCAAGGTTACATTATTTTTCTCTATTATGATTATCCAAGGCCTATGTTTCTATGGCATCATCATATCCCAGAAAACCTATCCAAAAGCCTTAACAAATTACCAAAAGAATCAAGCTCCCACAATGCTCCCGGGTAACCAAAATAAATAGAGCATATCCTACAGAAACATAAAGCATATCATATGTTATGCACAAAATAAAGAAATCAAAATATACAAGATTAACCCAAATGTATCTTACAGCTCATACATCCCACTCAAAGTGTTTAAATCAAATAAATGGGCATCAACCGCATATTATGGTAATTTTCTACTTTCTATAAAATCACACAATTGTACTGTCCATTTGATAGGTCATAGTTTATATCCATGGGGCCAAGTATGCCATATGGTAAGCCTTGGGATCATTTTTTGTCAGCTTGGGTGTGCTCTCTCTTTTTCTGTGGATTACAAAATCACAAATAAGCTCCAGGGCTATAAAAATTTTAAAAGATCCTAAAATTGATTCAAATGCCTTAAATTTGGAAATTGTCAAAAGTCTTTAGCTTTCCTAAGATTTCACAGGGGACCATTTAAGTTTTAAATGATAAAAAAAGATCCCTGTTCCTTTTAAAAGTACATAAAATACATCAAGCACTACTTTTAAAATTTAAAAAAAAAAGTTACTTATACTATTAAAAATCAGTAAAATGAAGCAAGGACTCAAAATTGTTGGAAATGTTCACAGGCTTTGTAGAAGTTTCAAAATGCCCTTCATGGATAAAAATTACCCAAATAGCACCCAAATAGCCCAATTCATGGTGATATATAACCATTAGCTGATTTTAAGGATACAGACAAATACAGACAGTTGCCATTTTTAAATAAACTAGTTCAAGAGAAGGCTGAGACCAACTTCAGAACATTTAGTGGTTATTTTATTTTTCTTTCGAAAATTTGAACTTTGTGAATAGCATGGACAGTTTACCATATTTATAGAAGAGGTGAATAACATATTTAAATAAATATTTGTGTTGTTCTTTGTGTAATGTTGAAAGTTTAGGTGTGAGCTTTGCGAATACATAAGATTTGTGTTCTCTATTCGGTTTAAGGTATGCATTACATGCTATTTTGTTTGGAGGTGCTCAGTTTGGGGTTTGGTTGGTTGTGATTGTCGTTGCTCTGTTTGGGGTTTTATTGGTTGGGGTTAGGCTTTCTCTGGCTGGGGTTTTATTGGCTGGGGTTGCTCTAGTTTGGGTTTGCTTGGCTATGGTTAGGGTTGCTTTGGTTGACGTTTGGTTGGCTGTTATTGGATTTGCGCTGGTATTGGTTATATTTCCAGGTTGACTTACTATGACTTTCGGATTTTGTGGTGTAAAATCAATGACGTGTGATTAGAATATATGATCTGGTAATTTATTTTTACATACAAGGCATCTTACCTAGGCATTGTATTTCATTTTTTAAAGTTGGTACTGTGATTGTTTTTATGTGATATGAAAAGATTTAGGTTATATAAATGCAAAAGATTGTATGTAAGTAAAGGCCTCATCTTGTAGGTAAGTGTATGAGCATTGCTGGTTTTAAAATATATATTTGGATGTTTGCATACATTAAAATTAACTCTAATGCATTCATGTTACTTTTTCTCATCTTCGTGGCCATGTGATTTTCGGCGTTGTTTACATTTAGAATCATGTTATTATATTTATTATAGTAATAGCACCGTGCATGATATATGTAATGTGGGCTTCGACTGAATATGGGTTCAATGGCATGTGGGTTTTTGTAATGTTATGTAGAGCAATGATTAAAAAAAATTAAAATGTTCAACTGATCACTATTTGTGATTCATATGATTTTCCTCACTTATTTGCAAACATTGGTTGTCGTATCGCAAATACTACCTGGACTTAAAGCCTGCATGACAAAGTCAACCATAGAAATTATTCGGTCTTAAAGCCCGCGCGACACTGTCAACCACAGATACTACTTGGCCTTAAAGCCTGCACGACATAGTCAACAAGAGATACTGCTTGGTCTTAAAGTCCACACAACACAATCAACCATAGATACTACATAATCTTAAAACCCACACGATATAGTCAACCACCAGTACTATTTGGTCTTACAACACCCCTGACACGCTCATCCATAGATCCTTCTTGGTCATACAACACACCCGACAAACTCGATCAAAAATATTACCTACTCTTGCAACCACAGTTCATAGAATTACCAAATGTAGTTGATAGTCCTGTATGGTGCAATCGTCGACAAATTGATCTCAATAAGCTTTATTTCGATATTTTATTTCAACTTATTTAATTACCTTTTAATTATAAGC